TGTCCAGTTCTGGGCACCACATTTCAAGAAAGATGTGGAGAAATTGGAGAGGGTCCAGAGAAGAGCAACAAGAATGATTAAAGGTCTAGAGTACATGACCTATGAAGGAAGGCTGAAAGAATTGGGTTTGTTTAGTTTAGAAAAGAGAAGATTGAGGGGGGACATGATAGCAGTTTTCAGGTATCTAAAAGGGTGTCATAAGGAGGAGGGAGAAAACTTGTTCATCTTGGCCTCTGAGGATAGAACAAGAAGCAATGGGCTTAAACTGCAGCAAGGGAGGTTTAGGTTGGACATTAGGAAAAAGTTCCTAACTGTCAGGGTAGTCAAACACTGGAATAAATTGCCCAGGGAGGTCATTTGGTCCTGCTATGAGGGCAGGGGACTGGACTTGATGACCTCTCGATGTCCCTTCCATGATTCTATGATTTGATTGTGTGATTTGGATGGAGGGCTGAGCTACTGAAGACCCACCAAGTGAGATCAGCAACATATAGTGTGTGCCTAGAACAGAAAAAGATTGCATTGCTGTACCCAGCCTACAGAAGACATATACATACAGTAAGTATGGCCCATCATAAGTTCCTTGACAGTGTAACCTGTAAAGTTCCACTGACAAACTGGGGTTTGGAATGTTATAATAAAGCTGTTCCTTTCATAACAGTAGAATTCATAACAAGAGACTTTAGAGCAGTGGTTCTCAAACTTTTTGGACGATGGACCACCTGGCTCAATCACACTCACTGTAAATTACATAATTATGCGTGAGCCATTTTGCTAGTGCTGCAGCTAGGGAGAATGGTTTAATATAAATTATTAAACAGATTAAGTGTTTTAACTTTCTCATGTTAGTTTATCAAACTTAATTTTAAATAAAGTAAAATGTTAATATATGTTCAACACAAAAAGTTTCAGGCTGTGTCTAGACTGGCCAGTTTTTCCAGAAAATCAGCCACTTTTCTGGAAAAACTTGTCAGCTGTCTACACTGGCCACTTGAATTTCCGCAAAAGCACTGACGATCTTATGTAAGATTGTCAGTGTTCTTGCAGAAATACTATGCTGCTCCCATTCGGGCAAAAGTCCCTTTGCACAAAAGTTTTGCACAAAAGGGCCAGTGTAGACAGCTCAGATTTGATTTCCGCAAAAAAGCCAAGATCGCAAAAATGGCGATCGGGGCTTTTTTTGCGAAAAAGAGTGCCTAGATTGGCACGGACGCTTTTCCACAAAAAGTGCTTTTGCGGAAAAGCAGCCGTGCCAAACTAGACGCTCTGTTCCGAAAATGCTTTTAACAGAAAACTTTTCCGTTAAAAGCATTTCTGGAAAATCATGCCAATCTAGACGCAGCCTCAATGTTTTATTTATGATAGAGGTGGAAAATCTTTTTTGAGGTCAGGGGCCAGAGACCCACAGAAAAATCAGTTGGGGACCACACAACTGAGAAAGAAGAAAACTCCTCCAAAAACCCCCAGCCCTCACTGATGTGGCCTCCAACTAAGAAACCTCACTCTTCTGGCTCTCCAGCCCTCTGGAGGGGAAGGGGAAGAGACAGGGAGGACTGACGTTCAGGGCTTCCCATAGGCCAGATTTACTTTTCTGGGGTTTCAGAGTTTGTGGATTTTATGAACCCCCGTAGGCTCTAGGGTGGGGACAAAAATGAAGGGGTTCAGTGTACAGAATAGTGCTGCTAGTGAGTGGGATAGGAATGGAGTGCAGGATCTGGAATGGAGGTGCAGTGCAGAAGGGGGAAAGGTTGTGAGGTATGGTGAGAGGCAGACGGCAGAAACAGGCTGGGAGTAGGGTGTCTGGCCAGGGAGAGGAAGTAGGAACAAGGGAGGGAGCAGGGTAGGGGTATGTGTCTGGCCAGGAGGGAGGGTGTCAAAGCAAGCTGAGGGTGTGAGTGAGAGGGATTGGGGTGCGGGGATCTGGGTGTGAGGGGGGATGCTTACCTGGCTTTGGACAGCCTCCTGACAGTGAGCTACCACCACCCAGTGGGGTGAGAAGAGAGCTCAGC